CGTGCAGGTCACGGGTTCAACTCCAGGGAACTGTGCAGATACTGTACACAGGTAAGCTGAGGTCAAAGGATCGACCCCTGGGATCTGCATCGGCTACTGCCAAAGGTGAAAACTGTTTCACTATCGACCGCCTACACCTTACTGGCCGGCACAAACAAACCTAAATCTAAGGATAAAGTACTGAGGCAACCACTCTTCGGGAACGAATGGTTAAAGAACGAGGCTGACAACCCCCTTTTCCTGGAACAGAGGTGGCTGTCATGGATCAAAAAAGGGATCTGGAAAATAGATCACCTGTGGAATGAGGAGAGAAAAGACTGGATAACGGAACAAGAAGTTACTGCCCGTCTGAAAGGGTGCCACAGACGAGGAGCCAACCTTCGGTATCTACTTAGCCGAATTCCACAGGAGTGGAACGATATCCCAGTTAAAGACGAATCGTGGAGACCGGGTGAGTGGGGTTTAATGATCCAGGAGATCACTACTTCTAGAGCCTGCCAATTCTGCCACATGCAGCAAGGTTCACACACCAGAGCCTCTTTCCTCTCCTTTCCGATTTCCATCACCAGCACTGACATGCCAGCTATCCTGAACTGCGATGTAGAATCTTCAGTACTAGATTCCTTCCTCCTCAGGAAAGTGAGGGTTCTAGGTTCTTGGCCAAAGACAATCTTCAGACCGGACACCCCAATCCGGTCCCTGGAATTCGACCCCGCAGAACGGGCCTGGACGCCAAATAACAACAGCATCATTAAGTCAAAGATCCCAGTCCAGGACTACTCAGTCAAACTTGGTTACAGACTCTCTTAAAACTAAAAATCCAGACCCGATCATCAAAAGCAGATGGCGGAACCTCGTGGGTCAGGAAGCAGACAAGATCACAAGAAGGAAAGATGCAGCAGAACAATTGAAGGGCGGTCCAACCCACGAGAGAAGGTGTGGATAGAGACCAAAACTATGATTCAAGCGTAGATCCTTTGCAGATGGCGGAAGGTCAAACAAGCCTGGTCAGAAGGTGAAGAGCAACGGGAAAAGGAAAGACAGAAATTCTATAGAAGCTGGCTGGTAAATGGCAAGGTTGCAGAACTGCGGCAAGATCGAATATGCTGGAAAGAAAGGGCTTTCAACAGCAGACAACGTCGCAGAGTATAGCCACTTCTTAGAACGCAAGGGGATACTTACAATTTGCTAGAGATCCAAGGGGCACAGACAAAGAGGGAACGTGGGAGAAGGGAGGACAAGTCGGAAAAGGGGTAGAAATGGTACATGAACGGGGGTTGCTGAGGAGGTTCGGTCACAGTGGTCTGGAAATAAACGGAATTTTGCCAGCGCCCAAGGTCGACATTTCAGAAGATAGGAACACTGGCCGAGGATTTAGGGTTTAAGGTGATCTGGCCGTTCATACCAAGGGACAGGGAGGTGGGTGATGAATGGAACAGGTCGGCATGGACAAAGGATGAACTCTTCCTAGGGGCAAAGGTGCTATCTGGCAGATCTGGATACCAGGTCYGAGAGGGAAGAGAGGGGCAGGGCAAGCTGACAGTCAATCCTCCACTGCGGTGGAGTAATCAATGCTGTTCAGGGGTCCTTCGGCCTGACGGAAGGAAGCGTGTGCGAGTTTTCATTGATGTAATGTGTATTTGACTTGCCGGTGGAATAGGAACCGGACTGATGCTCCCCAGAATAGAAGGAGCTAGGACCATAAGGCCCTGTTTTCTTTTAATAATAATAATAATAATAATAATAATAATAATAATAATAATCTGCAGATGATGCTCAGCCAAATGTTGCTTGTTTTTGTGCTGTCGCAGCACATATTTGTTTTTTGGATTTTTTTGATGACTTTCTTTTTTTTTTTTTGTCATACGAGGGCATACAAGACGTACAGGTTCCTGTACAGATATTACCTGTACGTTTCGTACGGAAAGGCCCCGTACGTGTACGTTCGGTAACGCAGGTGGGTCATGCCACCCTGTAACCCGCTCCTTATTCGGAGGCATGGCCGGGCAGAGAGATCTGGCCTGTAACAGGGGAGCTGACCAAGTTGCCTACCAGGTGTGGTGCCTGTGCAGGTGAGCTCATGCGGTTGCATAGTTCGTTCACACTGGATTGGTGGTGGGTTCAGGACCAGATGTCGTCAAACCCTCTGGCCCCAGAACGACTGTGGTTCAAGTTGATGGGGTGGGTCGTGCCACCCTGTAACCTGCTCCTTATTCGGAGACGTGGCCGGGCAGAGAGATCTGGCCTGGTGGGTTCAAGACCTGAAGTCGTCAAACCCTCTGGGCCCAGAATGACTGTGGTTGAAGTATATGGGCTGGCCCGGCCGGGTCGTTCCGCCTTGTAACCCACTCTCTATTCGCGGGCGTGGCGGGGCAGAGAGATCTGGACTGTAACAGAAGAGCTAACCAAGGGGCCTACCAGGTGTGGTGCCTGTGCAGGTGGGCTCATGACCCATCCAGACCTGAATTCCAATAGATATATATGTAGGTTCATAGCCCACCTCTCTGTCAACAGGCTTGCCTGCCATGGGCCGCAGGTGTGGAGGGGTGGGTCGACGTCACCCTGGCTGAAGCGGGAGATCGTGAGCACAGCCTCTGGGGAAGGGCAGGCTGTAGCTATCACACAATCAGCTGTTGATGTGCTACCTTCTTCCACCGAATAGAATGTAGGGTCATTATAGCTGTATTTGGGGCAACTTTCAGTCCAGATACAGCCGTAAGGACTTCGGGGGAAGACCGTAGGGTGGATCACTCCACCCCGCTACCCGACATCAAAGATTGGGAGCAATCAGCGGGCCTAGCTCCCTTGGTATATCCATGAACTCTTGAAATACAGACCCAAGTTCGAGTCCAGATGTACTCAGGTGAACAGAATAAAAGATATAACTCAGAATTACCTGGGGCCCGTCAGTTCAATGATGATAATCTGAATCATATGATTCATATCTATAGGTCGTCACCCTTTTAAAAAGAGGGGAGAAGAAGAAGAAGAAGAAGAAGAAGAAGAAGAAGAAGAAGATAAGGAGCACTGCTATTCAGGTTCAATTGAGAGAACCTGGACGGAAAGGTCGGAGAGCATCAGGCTTGCTCACCTTCTCCACCAGGATGTTCACAAGGTCAATTCTTTTATGAAATGGAGAGCCCCTAGAATTATTATATCCATTAAATTTCCTTGGGATTTGAACTCCCAATCATACCCAGCCCATGTGGCTGAATGCTACACCCATGACATACCCCCTTTTTTTCCCCCCTGAAAACCCCGTCTCCCCGCTAGGAGGGGTACTGACTGCATGGCCTGTTGCAGATTTCGGCGATTATCCCCTTATGGCGAATGGGACTGGGTGTCGGCTGCTGCTATCCGTAAACGGGATTGAGGGGCGGTAGCTGGCTTGTCGTTGAGCTTTATTACTGTTTACTGTGTGAAACTGCGAACTGAATTGGTGTGGGCGCTGGCTGCTGATACCAGCGAACGTGAGGGAATGCGTGGAAGATTGGGCCGACTTGTCATCGGCTGTTCGGTGGCCTGAACTATCAAGGTTGGATAGCGCATCGGGTGGGTCGAGAGTGTGCTGACATGTGTGGTGGATAGCTCGTCAGCCTCGAAAAGGGCGAACATTGAGGCTGTGCTATGATTTTGATTGGCTGTGCGCCTATGGGGAGAGAGAGAGAGAGAGAGAGAGAGAGAGAGAGAGAGAGAGAGAGAGAGAGAGAGAGAGAGAGAGANAGAGAGAGAGAGAGAGAGAGAGAGAGAGAGAGAGAGAGAGAGAGAGAGAGAGAGACAGACAGACAGACAGACAGACAGACAGACAGACAGAGAGGAGAGAGAGACAGAGAGAGAACAGGGGTTCGAAATTCGGTGGTGCCGAGTCTGCCGACTGCTTTTTTTGATTTCCTACTTCTTCACGACCTTGCTGCCTGATTGGTTCGCTGTTGGTGGTTCTCCTTTGAGGCCGTAAAGCAGTTTTCTGAACCGGCCAAAGCTGTCTTCGGAGTCCTTTGTGGAGTTACTGACATGATTTTCTCTTTTGGTTTCTTTCTGCGCCAAATTACTGCAGGTGTTGCCGAAACCGGACTATGATGCGATTATTGACGCAATCAAGCAGAATTGTGAGAAGAACAACCTGGTCCCCGTGGATGCTCTTGTCCGTAAGATCATTGAGCTGTATGAGATGATTGTTGTGCGGCACGGTCTCATGATTGTCGGCCACTCATTTGGGGGCAAGACTGTTATGTACCGGATACTGGCGGCTGCATTGGGAGATCTCTGTGCTGCAGGCCTGATGGAAGAAAAAAAGACAAGGTTGGTTAAACTTGATTCAGAAATCTTATTACCAATTTAGCATCCTTCAGCAGGTGTTGCTCCCCACCAATAGATGGACCCCCCCCTGAGGGTACTGGAGGTGACTGCTCATATCAGCACTTCCTGCACCCTGGCGAGGCTCTTGTAAAAAAAAATAAAAATAAAAAAGAAGAAGAAGAAGAAAATAGGGCATCCTTCAGATGAGAACCAAGGACACTGTGTAATGTTTTCTCCACTTAAAACCACCAGTGTTAAAAAAAAAAAAAAAAAAAAAAAACACTTGTACATCTGAAAAAGGCGATGGGGGATCTCCTAAAAAATAGGAGGCCATGAGCCACCCCATTCATTTTATTGACGGTCCATGGCCTCCGAATTCTAAGGAGAGGCGCATCATGAGAATATCTCCTACATCAAGAGGCTGGCCTGGGATATATATATATTTTTTTCAAACAACACCCCCACCGGTGCTAGTGGTCCTGATAAGAGCAGACACCACTACCACCCGGGGAGAGGCTCCGTCTATTGGTGGGGAGCATCACCTGCTGGAAAACGGGTCCAGCGTCCCATATACAGAGTGTAATCAGAGAACATCAGAGAAACAATCCTTCCAGCATTGATTACCCTGGCTTACAGGGGATTGACTGAGCAGGACGTTGGAAAAACTTGGGAGAACGATTTTTAGAACAACAACTGGAAAAGACCTGCCAATACTGACTGCTCTGGACTCCAAAACTGATTGTGAAGGCTCTCTAAATGTAATCTAACTGTAATCACCAAACCAGCTGTCCAACCTAGATCCAAGGGAGGGTTAGGCATCATAGGCCCAGGTCTGCAAATCAAAGCCCTGACCTTCAAAATTCTGATCAATCTGCTTTTGGGGAATGACATCCCATGGGCCCCCTACACACACATACTGATAGCATGCCTGCCCCCCCCCTCGTGCCCGCAACACCCGATGCAGCCTCTCAGGTGGGTGACAAACCAGGCATGGACCATTCCAGCGAGCCCCAGGAGAGACACGGACACTACCCCCGCTGGTAGGGCAAAATGGGACATCCGGACTGACCCCCTGTGGCCTGATCTGTTTAAACTTTGGAGGGAATATGGCCCAATGCAACGGCCAGCTTCCTTGAGGTGGCAGGAAATCTGGCGCCAACCCCTGTATGTCCCGCAAATTCTTGACCCTGAGGGTCACCCCCTCTCCCTCCGCCGCACCTCAAAATGGAGGAAGTGGTTAAAGAGGTGTATTTACACGATGGGAGATATATGGGACGACATGCGAGCCACATGGCTATCAGAGGAAGCAATTGCAGCCAAACTAGGCCCCATCTCCAATCTACTCCAGGACCTGCACGAAATGCAGGAGGCAATCCCGCTAGCCTGGGTCAGGGTCCTAAAGAAGGGTCCATCCTTCCAAAAAGGAGACTGGGTCGTTCATATGGACTCCCTGATCCTCCCTATGACTATTTACAGGAATCACAAGATAACACAGGCCTCGCTGAATCTTGAAGCCTTTTGCCCGGACCTACCAGGGGCGAGGTGGTCCGCTGTGTGTCGGCAGCCAGAACTTGATAGACAATGTTTAGACATGGCTGCCTTCCTCATAATTCGTGTAGTGGAGGACAAAGATGAAAGCTGCTACACGTACGAACCTGCCACCCCACTGTCCCACCTCCCTTTCAACCCGGTGGAGTGGGAATGGAGATTGAGGACGAAGACAACAATCACCCCATGGCAATACTCAGTTAAAAATGGGTATAGAGCGGCATGCACCTCAGCCCCGGTCATGGAGGGCGTCCTGCGCAGATGGGAGAGGGACTCCTCGTTAAAAAAAGAGGACTTTCGTTTCTTCACATGGGCACCCATTTCCCACCTGAACCATGTGAGGCCAGGGATTTTTGGAAAGACCACCGCCCCCAACACGAATCACAGATCGACTGGTTTAATAATGGCCTATTTTTCATGGCCAGAAAATGCAACGAGTACTCCAAATATCTAGCCACTCAGAGACACGTCCTGGAAGTCACCGTCATGCAGGATTTGGTAAGCGCAGAACAAGAGCAGAATTTAAGCACAAAACAAGAGCAGAATTTGTTAAACTTGCAAGGGCAGGAGCAGCGGATCACTGCCTTACAATCTCGCATACGAAAATTAAAAGACCAACTTTTTCAACATGCACAATACAGATGGCAAGGCGCCCAAATAAGGGTCAGGATTCTCCACTGAAGGGGTAATGAACTCTCATTTTTTCGGCTTGGCTAGAATACGCTGCCAACGAACCACGATCGAGGCTCTATATGAACCGAATGCCAGGGACTCGGACCCGGCTGTGTCCACAGCCCGCTGTACAAAGATAACTTACGATTCCTATAAGGAGCTCTTCTCCTCACACCTAGATAACTCAGATCCTCCACATCACAACCATCTAATCCAGGAATTCTTGGAGCCACTTAAAAAGACTTTGGCGATTGAACAACGGGACGCACTAGAAGCCCCGCTCTCCAAGGATGAGATATGGTCCGCCCTTCTACAAATGAAGGAGGACAAGGCCCCCGGGATAGACGGCTTCCCCTAAGAATTTTTGGAAACCACCTGGGAGTTCATGAGCCAAGACATTATGGACTTCTGTAGTGAAGTCTGGCTCACAGGGGAGATGGGAGAAAGGGTGGGGCAAGGGATACTAACTCTCCTGTATAAAAAAGGAGATAAAATGGACATCAGGAATTATCGACCCATAACATTGCTTACAATTGTCTACAAAATGTTGTCGAAGGCCTTGGCAAACCGAATGATCCCAGTAATGGAGGATGTCATTCATCCGGATCAAACCGGTTTCATGCAGAACAGAAACATACAAGAGAATATTTTGCTAATACATGAGATCCTCCAACTCACGAAGCACTCTTGTCAGAATGCGGCTCTCATATTTATCGACTTTGAAAAGACCTATGACCATGTGGACTGGACGTTTTTAGACAAATGCCTCGAAAAGATGAACTTTGGGCCAGGCTTCAGACGATGCATACAAATCTTGCATCAAAATGCCACCACATGTGTCCAAATCAACGGAAGTCTTGCGCCGCCTCTACGCCTAAAACGATCGGTCAAACAAGGGGACCCCATTGCCCCTTTCCTGTTCCAGGTCATAATGGAAGCACTGGCCGCCAATCTTCGGGCAAACAAAAACATCACCAAACTACGAGTTACACGCATCCCAGAGGAAGCGGTCCCGGTGTGCTCCCTCTTTGCGGATGACCTAACAATTATTGCAGAGGCCACACACCACAACATGGAGGAAATTCAATATATGATGGAAAAATTTACTAAGGTTTCCGACATGTCGGTCAACTGGGGTTCCAAAACACAGGGTTGGTGGATCCACTACCAAGGAGGACGTCCCCCAGAGGCCCCACACATAGCCTGGGTGCCACTGGAGGCACCAATAAGGATCCTGGGGGTATCCATGACCGCGGAAGGGAGGCCACCTATTAATAATGAATGGATCAACATCCCAGCGCAACACAAATTAAATAATTGGAAAAACAAACACACGTCACTCTTTGGTCGGGCCTTAGTTCTCAATAACGTTGTCTTTGCATCACTATGGTATAAGTCCCTGTTATGGCCCTTAAGCAAAGCAGCCTTGAGGGCTCTAAAGCAAAAGGCTACAGCCTTTCTGTGGTGGGGAGATGGTGAGCAAGTTAAGGTAATCAGCCGAGTGGCCTGGGACTCCATTATCCAACCAAAGGTGGGAGGAGGCTTAGGGATTCTAGACCCGGCCACGCAGGTACAAGCCCTACGAATCAAATGGATTAAGAAACTCATCTTTGCCCTCCAGAGCCCATGGTGTGCCTTGGCCCTGGAACATCTTGCACGGCTAGCCCCAGCTGCCCCCCGTGCAATCCACCCACTCACTTAGAAGACCGTTTTTGGACAATCCCGCGTAAACTCCCGAACGGAAGGGAGGGAGCAGAAGAAGGAGGGGGTCAGCCACTGGACAACTTTTGGCCATCAAACCTGGCGTAGTCTCCCGCTTCCAGACAGGACCCAACCTGGCCGGTGGGAGGAAGTATACCGTCAGCCCCTTTTTGGCAACAGATGGATAACAGATACGGAGGGCCGTGTGAGGATAAGTTCAGCCCCGCCATGGAAAAACTGAGTCAAACATGATATTCTTAGGGTCGGGGATCTCTGGGACACCGACAGACAAACATGGAAGACAGGGGACTAGATGCGGGACATCTTACGGTATTGCCATCGGGTCGAGGAGTCCTTGGAAAACCTTATTGAAGCCATCCCTCTGGAATGGTACCGGATCCTCAGGAGAGGCCCCAATTTGATAGAGGGTGACTGGGTGACGACCGTAGAGACCCCACACCTGATTGGATTGATCCACATGGTCTCCCCCCAAATGATCCTGATCGAATACCACACTATCACAAAACTAAATACCCTCCAAGCAATGGAGGCACCCTTTGAATGGAAGAACAAAACAACGGTTAACAAAGTGAGAGTCCTGGAAGAAAAGGGATAGAGGGTGGCCTTCCGGCCAGATAAACCAATCCAGGACTTGGCCTTGGATCCAGCAAAATGGGTATGGCAGGCCCCCCCGACGGAGGGGCGCCCCAGGAGCAAGTCACATTAGCCTGCACCTCTTAACGGTCAAATCAGCTTACAAAATGCTTCGACCCAAACGCCACCTAAGGGATATAATTAATGGTAGATGGGCCAGACATGTGAATATTGACCGCTCTTTCCTGACACCGATTCAATGGTTCAAGGAACAAAAGCATAAGCCAATGGAAATTACCTCGCTACAATGGCAGATAGCTCACCGCTGCCTGCCGACTAACGATTGGTTGATTGACCGGACAAACCTTGAACAAAGAGGCCTGCTGCTCCCATTGTGCTAGCGATGCCAGAGCCTCTTCCCCTTCCACAAGAAGGCAAGAACCATTGAGCATATCTTCATGCAGTGTCCGATCGCCCAGTTCATATGGAGATGGTGGGACGCTGGACCCGGTTTCCAGCAGGTGACGCTCCCCACCAATAGATGGAGCCTCTCCTCCGGTGCTAGTGCTGTCTGCTCTTATCTGCTCTTATCAGCAGCACCAGCACAGGAAGGGGTGTTCTTTAAAAAAAAAAGAGGAATGACTTCTTAAAGCTTCCAATCAAGCATGTGTGATTACAGATGCTTGATTGGAAACTTCATTGGAATCTTCAAGGAGTCTCTTCTCATTCTACGCCGCTGAAAACTTGATGATATCAGTTGAAAATTATGCCCACTCGGGCGCCAGATGGCTGACAGCATGATACAAAAAGGCGGGGAGCAAATCATGCCAAGGTGATGAAGTCTCTTAACCCACCAGTACCCTGGCCTGCTATGCTGCATGCCCCTGCCAGTTAACACGGCGGAGTGAAAAGGTTCGACCTACCGTACCAAAACGGATGGCGGCATACGACAGGCATTGTCCCCGAGACAGCTTGGAATGCGAGGGGCAGGCAAGCATGTGCATTGGAAAAGAGAGGCTTGGAGGTTTTAACAGCAATAGGCAGCTATTGCCGTGCCCTCATCTCGCCATTACAGGCCGATGTGACTCCCCATCAATAGATTGGAGTACCCGACCTGTCTAGTAAGGGGAGCTGCTGCTCATATCTCTTCCTCTACTAGATAGGCGGAGTCTTTTCTTAAAAAAAGAAAAAAAAAAAGCTTCCGTTCCCTTTTTTTTTTTTCTTTTTTTTTTTGTTCCGTTCCCTCATATCATTCCCCATCATATCCAGTAAAGCCACCTACAGACCACAACTGCTACCCAATCCACCCCACGGCTGGCCACGGCCCCCAGGTCTGTAATGATAGGACAGCTGTGTGAGGCAATTTGCTGCCATGTCTCTAAGTCCCTACAGTCAGTCCAAGCTCTAGGCCTATCTTAACCCCTTGAGTGACAACCAAGCTTCAAAACTGACTCCTGTTTTCGGTCTTGCTTCTGTTCCTGGTTTTGTTCTTGCCTTTGTTCCTGGTTTTGCTCCTGGTTTTCTTCTTGGTTCTGTTCCTGGTTTTGTTCTTGGCTTTCTTCTTGTTTTTTTCCAGGTATGATGTTATAAATCCAAAGTCAATTACTATGGGACAGATGTATGGACAATTTGATGCTGTGTCGCATGAATGGACAGATGGTGTGTTGGCGATGACTTTCAGGAAGATGGCAGTGGATCGCAGTGAAGATCGCAAATGGATTGTCTTTGATGGGCCTGTCGATTCCATCTGGATCGAGAATATGAACACCGTAAGCTGAAGTTTATTGCCCCAACATTTCCATGTCATGCTGTGGTGCCTACCCTCTTTTTTTTCTGTCCTCGCCAGTTCCATATCCGGAATATCTGCCCTTCCTTTCGTCAATCTTCCTCCTCCTTGCCTGTCCGTATTCTATTTTTAGCACAGCTATAAGTCAGACACTGACATCATCTGTTTCATCATCCCATTCAGTCCTCCCACAGTTTTTTGTCTTCCGAAGCTCCTTGGGGGATCTTCCTGTCTGTACAAGATAAAAAAGAAAACTATCATCAGACTCGAATATTGCGAACTTCTGCAATCATTCTTGTGCTAGCATCAGCGGGTTAGCGGGGTGCTGCTGTGTTATTAGGCTACTTTTAGATTAGAGAAATTTGGCCTGTCAGTCTGTAGACAGTTCAAAATCGAATTTCTGACGGTGGGACAGCCATAGCCAATTTCTCCTACCTATCTTCTTTGACTTCTACTAACCCTGTTTGACCCTCTTTCTGACTCAACATTCATCTGTGACTGTGTTACAGTATTGTGATTCAGTCTGTAGAGTGAATTGGATTGTTCAGGGTCATATTGTCAGTAATAATGGAAATTGCACTGCGGGGCACCCTACCTGCCCACAAAGCTGGGTTGTATACATTGCCCAAACTGCAGTTGCAAACTGTATCTCGGCCCATACTGCAATTATAACTCTTTTTTGTGACTCCCGCGTAGTTTCCCCTACTATAGAAGCATGAGAGTGATATATCAGGACGCTGGACTCAGTTTCCAGCAGGTCACGGTCCCCAAACTCCCCACCAATGGACTGGAGCAACCAGCTAAAGGACTACTATGGGGGGATGCTCATACCACTCCCCGCTGTAGGACCAGCTGTGTTTTTTTTTTTTGTGTGTGTGGGGGGGGGGGGGAAGGCCCCAAACATTATCTTGTTGTTTTGCCTGGCCCTAAGGGGGCAAGCCCAACTGAGCTACTGAGATATGTCTATACCCAGGTCTCCAAATCCAATGGCTTGGGCAGGGGTTGATTTTCCTGGTCCGGGGGTTCTGAGTCTTCTGACAGTCAGATTTTGTGCACATATACCTAGACATAGGCCAGTTGTCTGGCCCCAGGAAACACACTCACTCTTTTCTTTTCTTCTTTTTTCTTAACTCCTAGCTCTGCATTCTGTATTGTAAATTGTAATTATCAAACCATAATTTCCCCTGCTTGACCCACCCAAACTGATCTGTCATTGAAATTCTTCCTCCTCTCTTTCTGCAGGTGCTTGATGACAACAAGAAGCTATGCCTGATGAGTGGTGAGATCATTCAAATGTCTGCACCGATGACCTTGATCTTTGAAGTTCAAGATTTGGCAGCGGCATCACCAGCAACGGTCAGCCGTTGTGGCATGGTGTACGTCGAACCCGCTGCTATTGGATGGCGTCCATTAGTGCAGATATGGGCCAAAGGCTTGCCGGCAATACTGACAGACGCTCACAGAGAACAAGTCATGAAAATGTTTGAGTGGATGGTTCCTCCCTGCCTGCGCTGCGTCAAGAAGAACTGCAAGCAGATTCTTCCTATGCAGGTGGGTTTGTTAAACTTACGCTTCTTTTTTTGGGGGGTAATAAGGGGCTACTCACAGTAGCACTTTCGTAAAGGTATCCAACTGCATTTAGGGCCAGACCTGGATGCGTCTGATGGCAACCACGTCCAGAGCTCCGTCAAAGAAGCCCCATTGTGAGCATGCCCTGACTTTTTTTTTTAATTATTATTATTTTAATGCTCCAATCTATTCGTGGGGAGCAGCACGTACTGGAAACCGGGCCCAGCGTCCCTTATAATGGAAATACATTGATGATTGATGATCATTGATGATAAAAAAATTGGGATGATTGAGGATCATTTAAGATCATTTAGGATGATTCGGGATGATAGAGTGGATGATTGAGGTCATGAAATAGAGATAGATGACGACTAATCAGAATGATTGTCTACTCAGCACCCAAATACTATCCTACCCCTAATTTCCTGTATCCATTCCAACCAACCAATCACAACTGAGCCTGTGCTGTGCACCAATCAGGCCTCTTCCCGGTCTCACACCCCAATCTGGCTCGGTTACAGGGCAGCGCTACCCACCCCAGCTCCGACCATCGTCGGCCAGATTGCAGCCATTAGTCAAGTTTGCAGATTGCCTTCCTTCCTCGGCAAACCCAGACCTCTATACAAAGCCTCAAGCTCCTACTCAAGCAGGTTACATGGCACTGCCCCAGCGCCGGCCAGCATCGTTCTGCCGCCAACTCAACCTGGCCATTACTCAAAAAGGCTCAATCAGGAAATTAGCTGAGCTAGAATGCCAACTAGAAATCAAGGATGCCCTGACATGTATTTGCTCATTCAGTTTTTTTGCAATTACCGTGCGCCGCTTTTCTGCTTGCCTGGTACGATGACAAGGAATCAGGTTTACATCGCTCGTACACGGCCCCAGCCTTGCAGAAAGTTTTTGTCGCCACAAGCAAAGCCTGGAGGCGCCGGGCGGCCAGGCCCGCCGTTGAAAAAAAAATCGGCGGCCTCCAAAGTGGTCCGGGTTTCATGCTGACACCTGATTGCCGATATGTGGTGTACCTGTGCTTTAAAGTTTGAACTTCAAATTTTGTAAGTGGCCATGAGTGCTTGGATTTGTCCCTTTCATTAATTGGTAGGAAAAAAAAACATTAGCACCTGGGATTTTGACCAACCATAGCTCAGTGGTTAGAGCACTGGTTCGAAATGCCAATTGTGGTATAAGGTTGCGGGTTCAAAACCTCGCAACCTTGCACATGGACACCGACAGGGCGTTAGAGTGACGCACGGCTGGACACACACCCCTTGGGATGCCGCAAGTAAGCTATTACAGACACTGCCTGCGCACCACCCAAGGGGTAGCTCATGGTTGTTGTATGTTGGGAGTGGGTGATGGCGTGGTATCCTGATGTTCTTGGTCTATGGGGTGGTCACGAGACTGCTGGGTGGTTCGTACAGTCTGGTGTACTCGAGCCCAGCAGAGCAAAGCTACATACTATTTCATAGCTTAGGCCAATAGGTTAGGTCATTTGCATGACTCACATGAGGTCCTGTGTTCAATACCAGATTATGACTTAGGGCTGGTCATCCTCCTAGTACGTAGTCAAGGGTTGAGGCTGGCATAGCAGTTCCTTCGTACGGGATGTCGGGGGTTTTAAAAAATACTGCACTTTACTGCAGGGCCGGAACCGGCTCCAGGGACATACGAGGGAACAGAGGATTGTCAGCTCTTACAGATTACCATACAACACATGGTTAATAGCCGGCATCCCTGAGGAAGCTATGCCGGTCTGTTCGCTATTCGCAGATGATCTCACAATTATGGTCGACGCCACACATCAAAACATGGATGTAGTATACAGGCTAATGGACCTTTTTTGCACCCTCTCGGATATGGTCGTTAACTGGGGTCAAAAAACGATACGATGGTGGCTCCACCATCAAGGAGGTCGTCCCCCGGAACGGGCCGGAAGGACAACACATCACCTGGGTGTCCCCAGAATCCCCAATCCGGATTTTGGGGGTAAAGATGACAGTGCTAGGTCATTCCCCTGAAAATGACGGATGGTTATCAGCCCCGGCGTTTGCTAAACTCTCCCTATGGAACCAGCAGCATACATCACTTTTCGGACGAGCCTCGGTAATCAACAATGTCGTCTTAGCCACCCTTTGGTACAAATCGGTACTTTGGCCAGTGAGCCCGGGGCGCCTGAAGACCTTGAAGAGGAAGGTGGCCACTTACCTATGGAGAGGGGATAATGAAAAAACCCACGCTATCAGTCGGGTGGCATGGGATTCGGTTATCCAACCCAAGGCAAAAGGAGGCCTCGATATCCTGGACCCTCTCACTCAATCCCAAGCCCTTAGTTTACAATGGGTGGTACGATTGATTTTCGAGAACCCATTAGTATGGAGGCCGCTGGCATCGGCACAAATTGCCCGTCTGGCCCCCGCGGCCCCTCAATCCGTTCACCATCTCCGATGGTTGGACGATCGCTACTGGAGAGTGCCTCGGCGCCCCCGGGGAGGGGAGGGACGGAGAGATTACTTCTAGCCCCGCGTGTTACAAATCTGGAGGAGGCTCCCCCCCCCAAATCGCCCACCCCCAGACAGGTGGGAGGAGGTGGCAAGACAACCCCTGTTCGGAAACCGTTGGATTACCAACGAAAGGGGTCAGATCTTCTGCAGTAATGATGCCCCATGGAAAGGATGGGTGAAGAATGGGGTGATTCGAGTGGGCGACCTTTGGGACAAGGAGAGGAAGGACTGGAAGGGTCCGGAGAAGTTGAGGGAGGAATTGAGATACTGTCACAATGTTGAGGCAGCACTTAAAGACATAACGGAGGCCCTCCGGGTAGGGTGGTGGCCCATCTTTCGCAGAGGTTCGGTGTTGAGGGAGGGAGACTGGGTGTCCATGGAAGGGAGGACCGACAGGGTAGGCCTGGTTCATGTAGCTCGGATGGATGATGTGTTGATCGAGTGGTTCAATATAAAAGGAAATGGAGGACCGGAAGGAAGCCGGGACCCCTTCCAATGGACTTTGAAGGTCGAACTACACAGAACCAGGGTAATCGGGGAAGGAGACAGTCGGCGGTCCTTTCTCCCCGAGATAGCCATAAAAAATCTCTCAATAGATCCATTGGAGTGGGTCTGGAACCCCGACTCACGACATATCTCACGACAATCAAAACCTAAAAAATTGTCGGGTCTCTCGGTGAAAGCGACATACAATATGCTTGGAACCAAGCGATGCCTAAAAGACACGGTGATCGATAGATGGCCGACACCAAGTGCATACCCGCGAAGATTACTTCCTTACAGTGGCAGATCTTGCATCGGTGCTTACCTACAAACGATTGGTTAATTGACCATTCGCGGTTGGAGCAACAAGGTCGTACGCTCCCTTGGTGCTTCCGTTGTCTGTTGGGTTTTCTGGCTAGGAAGAGGGCAGAGAATTGAACACATTTTTGCAATGCCCAACAATAGTTTTGACCTCGAGGTGGTGGGACAGGGTGTGGCGGCAAACGGTTCCGGGATATCCAAGATCGTGGGATTGGCGGGCCATCCTATTGGGTTACCGCCCACCCTTCCAAGACAACACCTTTGTGTCAAACATATTTCACCTGTCCCGAAGAACGGTCATGTGGGTCCTGTGGTGGCAACGCTGTGTCCTAACTTTGGACCAGGTACGGGTAGAGGGAGAAGAGAGCGTTGAGCAATTCAAAATGCACTTCCAACTGGAGCTCTCGCATAGGTGGAAGTCAACTACGCAATCACTCGACAAATTCCATAGATCCAAAGACATTACGGAACGATTATTACAGTTTTCTAGGGAATGGCTGGGGGGGGACCGGGAGGATGGGTAGCGGAAGTGTGCCGATCAGGGGATTGGGAGGGTCGGGGGGATGCGGAGGGCAGCCAAGGAGAGGAAGTCCCAAGGGACTACCGCCCGAGATTCAAGGAGTGGTTGTCGATTGATTCGAGCATCCCCATGAGACCTGCAGAGGAGTTCCTGGACCCATTCCCCCCCCACCCGTGGTCCCTGGAAGTACGTCTATACAATCCCTGGCCAAATCAGTTGTTTTGTGGTGTTTCACTGCTAAATCTTCTAATCTACGTCCTTCTGTGTTTCGTATCTAGCATTCTGACTTAGGGGTGGCAGTTGGGTACACCCGACAGAGGTCATTTTTGGGGACTTTCAATCCTTGTCTTTCCTTGTTTTGTAACTAGCATTTTGACACAGTGGGGGTGGTGGCAGCTGGGTAGACCAGGCAGAGGACAGTATCAAAGCAAGGGGACTGTTTTGAGGATGGAAAGGAAGACAGAAGGAGGCCCCACTGGTGCCCCCCAGTGGCTCCTCCCGGAACCCTGGACGGACAAAGGGCTGAAGAAGGAGAAGGTAACCACCTCTCACACCTGCTAAGTCAATCCTCTAGACTCCAGAGTAATCAATGCTGGCAGGCCTTTTCCAGACATACCATCCTGTTACTTGTCTATGTTTCATATTGTATCTTTCTGCATAAGGGACGCTGGACCCGTTTTCCAGCAGGTGCTGCTCCCCACCAATAGATAGAGCCTCTCCCCAGGTGCTAGTGATGTCTGCCCACAACAGCATCACTAGCACTACAGGGTCTGTTTTCAACCAATATATATATATATATATATATATATTATATATCGTCATGTATATCGTCAGAAACAGAATTGCCCGGTAAACCCGGTAAACCGTAGGCACAGAGAGAGAAGAGGACAAAAAACGAGGGGCTGTGATATATACAGGGTTACCGGCGTTCGGGACGGGCCGAACACCCGAACCCGAACGCCCGACCGTATGGGACCCCTTGGGGATGCGTTCCGCCGTTCAGGCCGAACGCGGACCCAAAAAACAAAAAAACAAAAAAATGTCATAAAAAAATTCTGAAAAAACGGTATGTTATGGAGAAAAATAAATTAAATAAGATTTGTCTGAGCATTACATCCGAATTCTTTACCACATTTGAAATAAAAATAAAATACGGAAAA